ATTAGTGACATTAAAATATAGTCTCTGAGCCAGGCATGGTGCTGCATACCTGTCCTCTCAGCACATGGAAGGCTGAGGCAGGAGGACTCCGGGGAGTTCAAGGCCAGTTTGAACTACATAGTGAAACCCTGTTTCAACCAACCAGCCCACCAACCAACGAACCAATCAACAAAACCCCAAAATGGTCCCGGAATTTATTTCAGATAATTCCTTTAACTTAAGGAATACGCTAGATACCCACTTAATGGAAGAATTTAAAACCCCAACACAATAGGTCTGGAAAACACAACACATCATAGTCAGTATCCTCTATATCATAGTCAATATCCTACAGACCCAGAAAAAAGAGATTTCTAAAAACTACTAGAAAGAAGCACTAAATCACCTGTAATGGAAAACCCATCAGAATAATAAGTGGATTTACTAGCACAAATATTAAAGAATAGAAAGGAGATTTTGGAGTGAAGGTTTTTTTCACAGCTGATTAATAGGACAGTTTTGATAATACACTGTACATTGTTATCTTCTTAGTGGTCATCCATAGTACAAGAAGCAGACAGGATATTCTGTCCAAACACTGTTAGTACACCTCTTTCTTCTCATTGAATTAAGCGAAAATAGCTGTAAATTTATCCTATTTTGTATATATAAATACAAAATGATCTTTCCTTTGTATCCTTTTTTTTTTTGTCCTCTCAGAGGTGAATATTCTATTGGAATCTAAATACTATAGGTGATTGAATTCAACTAAACAATCTAACACTGTTTAGCAGTCTATAATATTAGTGGGTTATCCTCAGAAGTTATTGACTTGAGCCTTTTACAGCTCATCGTATTAATATGGATTTACTTTATATACCTTGTTTTTATACTTTTCTGCTGGATGGTTAAGACCAAGATATAGCAAGACCTATATAACAAGAAATGTAACTTTTGTATCTGATAAGGTCAGCCAGGTTGGAGGGAAGGTTTTAAACTTGCTCCCCCCATTTTACTAGCCCAGGTTAGCAAAACTACCCTTCTAAATCTTAGCAAGAATGAAGAAAGGCCTCCCACAGTAAGGATTAACCCAAGAAAATGATGACCTCCAAACCAGCACTGTAGAATACTTAATGGCCTCCTAGACAGAGACATAGAAGACCACAATGCCCAAGAGCCCATAGTAAAGAAGACATCTAACTGGCAGAGTAATTAAATAAGAAGAAAATGGAAAGGCCATGAAGGGGTCTGCCTCTAGGGAGCTGATGCTGGACGCCAAGTCCGAGGTCACCAACCAGCCTGTAGATTTTCAGTGGAAACTGGGTATGGCTGTGAGCTCAGACAGTTGCAGTATTCTTACACTGCAGTGATGCTGAAAGTGGCAGACCATTCAGGTCAAGTAAAGAACAAATCTTTTGAGATGACAATTCCACAGTTTCGGAATTTCTATAGACAGTTCAAGGAAATTGCTGCTGTTATTGAAACTGTGTGAAAACTGATTACTCAGATTGATAAGTTGCTATCATTTTTAAAATGATGGATTTCACCTGCAAAAGAACTGCACTTTCATTTTTCCATTTTTTTTTTTAAATAATCTAAACATCAGATAAGCAGGAATTAGTGGCGATTGATGCACACTTTGTAAATGTACTGAATGGAACTGTAAAGGGTGCATTTTGTATGTGAATTATGTCCTAATAAAAAAACAGACAATTGAGTGATTAAAAAAAAAGAAAATGGAAAGAAATCAAGCAATGAAAATATAATATGATGTCAGGAATCAGTACATACCTATATTAGTCAGCTTTCCTGAGAAGACACAGCACTTGACACCCAAAACTTAAAGGAGGAGAGGTTTAATTTAGCTCACAGTTTTGGCAGATCCAGTCCATGGTCATCAGACTCCAAGCCAGAAGCATCGTGACAGAGACATGAATGGAACAAAGATGGTTGGTTCTTGGATGCTGAGGGGCAGTGCCAGCCAGGAACCAGGACAGGGACCACTTACGGTACCCAAAGTCACACATCCACAACCTGCTCAGAAGTGTGCTCTGCCAGTGTTATTCTGAGTCTCTGCAAAGTCTCAACAAATGTAGACAGACTATGTTCCAGGTCACCATACTTACGATCCATATTACAGCTGCAAATGGAGTCAGTGTTTCCAACCAAAACACACTGAGCCTGGCCTTTGCTGAAATTACAACAGATGCCAGCTAGATCAAGAGGACTACAAGAAATGCCTCTAAGGATTTTTTTTTCCCTTGGGCTGGCTCAAGATGCCTTCAGGGCAGATCTGGCAAGGCTTGAGGATCTGGGGATCGAACCACAGCATCCTCAGCCTGACTGCTTTGTTTAAGCAATCACTTCAACAGATGAGCTAATGGGCAGGCTCCCATTAAGAAACTCCTTTGAAAACACGTATTCCAATAAATTGGAGAATCTGGAAAAAGATTCATAAATTCCTGGAAACATGATTTATTGAAATTGAACAAAGACTATGGAAAGCCTCAGAACCGAGATCAATAACAAGCAATGGATTAATACCATAATCACAACTCAGTCAGTAAAGAGATACTTAGAACCCAAGGAATGTGCTAAAGAATTTTAATAAAATTTAAGAAAAGAACTAATACTTATAATTCTCAAATTTTGCTATGTTATTGAACTGGAAGGAATTCTTTCAAATGCATTCTGTAAAGCCAGAATTTTCCTAGTATCAAAACCAGACAAGGATTTAATGCAACCAAAAGCAACATCCCAATATCCTTGGTGAACATAAATGCAAAAATCCTTAATATAATACTTACAAAATAACTGAACACATTATTAAGAAGATGAAGGATGGCTGAGGTGATTGAACTGAAAATCTCTATCAGTCTTTTTTTTTTTTTATTTTTTGGCAGAACCGGGGATTGAACTCAGGTCCTTGCTCTTACTAAGGGAGCGCTTATTCCACTGAGCCATATCCCCAGCCCTCCATCAGTCTTTTGAAAATTGCAGTTAATGTGTAGAATTTTCACGTTGACTAACTCTATTCTGCAATCTGTGATCTAAACAACTACACTGAGGACAGCAATGCATAATGCAAAAATCATGCTTGAATACTTGACATCTTGGTCTTCTAAATGTGTACCATTTCTAATGTCATATCCATAATTACTATCCTCTCTTTAAAACCAACTTTAAAAAAGAGAGACGAGAACAAAAATTTAAGGTTTCTTGAAAGCAACTGGTAATATCCAACCATGTGTCCAATCTTACATAACTATACCTGTTAATCTGAGCAACAGATTTGATAGTAAAAATGGATAACATATCAATCATTGTTAATCAGCTTTTCTTGGTTTGGAAAATCTTTAACATATGTACTCTTGTATGTTGCCCCATTTCTTTCTTTGTTTTTGATTTTTGTTCTTGATTTGCTTTTACTTTTCAAAATAAAATTAAATTAAAAAAGAAGATGATACAGAAAAACTAAGTCAGCTTCATCCCAGAGATGCAAGGATACATATGTGGATCAATAAATGTAACATATTGGAAGGGCCATCATGAAGAATATGACAAACAGCAAATGCTGGTGAGGCTACCTGGAACAAGGAACCCTTCCGTATCATTCTTGGGAATGTAAACTATTATAACTATCATGAAAATCATTATGGAGAGAGCTTGGAACAGTAAAACAGAAATTCCATTTAATCCAGCTATGACTTTCTTGGCTATATTCTTGAAAGAGTTAATTAAGGTTGTCATACTATAATGACACAAGCATACCTCCTACATTTATACCAGCAAAACTCATAATAGCTGAGATCTGGATGCCACTGAAATATTCACCAACAGAGAAATGGATAGAAAAAATGTGATATGTATACACAGTGGAATAACAGGAACAAGAAATTATATCCTTTATAAGAATATTAATGGGTGGGGGGCCAGGGAGCTGGCTCAGTGGAATAAGCACTTCCCTGGCAAGCGCAAGGGACTGAGTTCAATACCCAGCCCCCCCAACAAAAAAGAATATTAATGGGACTTCAGGTCATGGTGTTATGTGAAATATGCCAGGCACAGAAATCTAAATATTACGTGGTTTAGCTTATATGAGATACCTAAAATTTTAATAAATAAATGATTAAAATAAAGGAGAGAGGGAGGGCTGGCAAGATAGCTCAGCAGACTAAGCACCTTGCTTAGGCAGGCTCAGGGTCTGGGGTTTGATCCCTGGCACCACATGCCATGCCAGTCCTGCCCCTGGGCATGCTGAGCCGGCCACCAAGACCAGGTGTGGTGGTGCATGCTCATAAGCCCAGCACTGTGGAGGCTGAAGACAGAAGGATCACTATGAGTCCAAGCTGCGTAGTGGGATCCTGTACCAAATGCATTCAAAATAATAATAAACT